TACTCAATAATTGAATATATTCAAGTTAGTACACAAAGGTTGGTATCTGTCTAAGGGAACCTGGCATATGCTGGAAGGTGTAGTTGGGGTAACAGCCTGACTGACTACAATCTGACTTGAATGGTCTTCTCCTATTTCTTCTGTCCTCATGTTTTTATAAATCAAACATTTCTGTTTCCTGCTTTTTGAATCTGTATTGACATGAAAGACAGCAAGCAACCTAAAAACCTGACGGGTGGTGATGCCCTTCCAGATATTTAAAGTGGCATACTAGGTGAATTAGGGTGTGCTGTTTTTACTGTTATGGCTAAGAGGCAGCATTGTAAGAGAAAAGGACACAGATGATCCTACAGTGAGAATACGAACAAAGAACTTGGAGCTACTGCGCAAAAAACATTTAATTTATATATTGTTTGACTGGTAGCTGCTGATAGGGCTGTTTCCCTTTGAACTAGGGGGTGGTGTAGTCTTGGGGTAGTGTCGGCTCAGGGTAAAGGGTGTTTAGAATAGAGGTGGGAGAACCATTCTTCACTCAAACTATTGTGAATATTTGGAATTCTGTACTTTTGGGGCTGAAATGCTCATTCCTCAGGTATATGATTGATAGATTTTGTGGACTCCAAGTGAAACAAGATATGGGATAGGACATGCAATTAGATTTGATGTAAAAAAAAATGTAGATATTGCCTCATTGAATAGCAGAGATGCTGCAGCCTACTCATGCTCCTGTTCTTGTATTCGCCCAACAATACTATAAATTTTTTTTTTTTTTTTTTTTTTTGAAAATTTGAACATGAGAGAATGCATCAAAGAACCAGTCATAGAATCATACCGTACAGAAGAGGCTCTTTAGCCCTTTGAGTCATTAAAGTTTGCAACTCCTTCATTTTGTTTACAAGCCCTACTTGTAAGTGCTTCTCCTAGGGGTATCAAGGATGTTGATCAAGGGCATTTGAGGCCATTTGTATTGTCTTGAATGCCACACCCATCTGAAACTCTTGGCCTTTAGGATTCTGTACTGTGCCTTAGCAATGCAATTTGTAGCTGGGCTGATCTGGGACATGGTCCCAACTAGACTGCCAATATATTCATCTCTCAAACCAGCTATTTAATAAACAAGCCTGTGGGTATGCCTGATGAGCAAATTGAATTTCTCTGGATGTGATTATTCTTTTTCCAAGCTCTCATTCCTTTAATGAATACTAGAATTGACATGTGATGTAATAGCTGAATAGATCAATGGAGAGACCCAATCTCTCTCAGTCTACCCTGTTAGGTTGTTTTCGCCTTCTGCTAGGGTCTAGCCCAGAGAGCATCATCTCAGAATAAACTGCACAATTAAGACAGAGATAAAGAGGAATCTTTTTCTTTTGAGGGTAGTGAATCTATGGAATTCTTTACTGTAGAGTGGTGTCAGGGCTGGTCATTAAGTATATTGAAGGTTGAGACTGATTATTTTTTTTTTAATCATAAGGGAATTGAGGGAAAAGGCAGGAGTTGAGAATTTTTCAAATTCATCATGATTTCATAGTCCTAGAGTCATTCAGCACAGAAACAGACTCTTTTTGGTCCAACTTATCCATGCCGACCAAGTTTCACAAACTAACCTAGTGCCATTTGCCTGCATTTGGCCCATTTCCCTCTTAAACCTTTCCTGTTCATGTACCTGACTAAATGTCTTTTAAATGTTGTAATGGTACCTGTATCTACCGCTTCCTGTGGCAGTTCATTCCACATGTGAACCACTGTTTGGGGGAAAAGGTTGCCCCTCGGGTACCTTTTTTTTAAGGTGAGATGGGAAAGATTTAAAATATGCCCTCTAGTTTTGAACTCCTCTAACCTAAGGAAAAGAACTTTGCCATTCACCTTATCTGTGCCCCTCATGATTTTATAAACCTCTATTAAATCACCCCTCAACCTCCTAAGCTCCAGTGAAAAAAGTCCCATCTTGTCTAGCCTGTCCTTTATAATTCAAACTCTTCATTCCCAGCAATATCCTGGTATATCTCGTCTAAATCTTCTAAATCCTCTCCAGCTTAATAATTTCATTCCTAAAGCAGGGCAACCTGAACTGTATACAGTAGTCCTAAAGTGGCCCTACCAACGTTCTGTACAATGTCAACATGACATCCCAACTCCTATTGAGTAATGAAGACAAGCGTGCTAAACGCCACCTAAACCACCTTGTCTACCTGTCAAACTTGTTGATTGGTGTAGCAGACTCAATGGACTGAATGGCCTACTTCTTCTATGTTTTTTGGATTATTTGGAGCTCAAAAGTCATGCTGCTGTCTGTCTTTATGGCTCACTTCTTTAAAAACCAAATCGAGCAACACAGTTGTTATCAAGAGACAACAAGGTGCAGGGCTGGATGATGTTATCAATGTGGCAAAAGCCAATTTGTTTTTTTTTCGTGAATATACATTTGTTTTCTCATTTTAACTCTTCACCCCGTCTGCATTGCTTTAGAGCGTGCATTCCTCTTGCTACCTCACCACACCTCCCACTGACACTAATTTATGGTGTTGTGATTCTGCAGTTATTAGCACCTCCCTCCCAAATGTCACATAAGAGTTCAGATATTGAGTTTTAGCAAGCTGTTCAATCACACACTGCATCATATTCCTGTTCCCTGCCTCCACATCTAAGACTCTCTCTCGACATTGAGTGTGATACATAATAATTAGCAGCCAGTCCCAAACTGAAAAAATCTGCTATGTGTCTGAGAGTGTATGGTAAAGTTCAGTTTTCCTAACTGAAGGGTACTGATGAGCACACAAGTGCTGCGATGTTGAAGGACATCCTTTTGGATGAAAGGTAAAACCAAGACATCATCTGCCATCCAGGGTGAATGCAAATGACTTGCAGCACATTTCAAAGCTCAGATGAGTTCCCCTCCACCTAAGCAAAGTTACCATAGTCCCAGAGGATATAAGGCTACTTGGTCAATAGAGAGGGGCGATTTGGCTCACTTGGCTGGATGACTAGTTTATGATGCAGCACAATGCTAACAGTGTGGGTTCAATTCCTGCACCAACTGACATTACCATGAAGGATTCTCCTTCTTGACCTTGCACTTGCCTGAGGTATGTTGACCCTCCCGGTTAAACTCACCACTGGTCATTTTTCTCTAATGAGAGAGCAGACCTATGGTTCTGAGACTGTGGCAATTTTACTTTTTGTACCTAACCTCCATCAATTGCTATTTATTCCTCAATCAACATCATTTTTAAAAAAAAAAGCTTATCTGCCAAATGCCTGTTGTTTGTGGGAGCTGCTTGTATTGCAAATTGGTTCCTGTATTTCTTACATTATGTTAAATGACAAAGCTCTGACGTATTCTGGTGGCCATAAAGCACTTTGTGATATCCTGAGGTTGTGATTGATGTTAAATAAATGCAAGATCTTTCTTTAATATGGTGGAATTTAGTACTGAAAAAGTACTGCAACCATTTAAGAATCAAGAACTGGTACAGCACAGAAGATGATCATTCAGCCCATTGTATCCATTCTAGCCCTCTGAAAGAGCATTTTGGCTAGTCCTGGTCCCTGTAACCTCTTCAACCCTCTCTTCAAATAACTATCCAATTTCCTTTTAAATGTCCTGACTTGTTCTGTCTCCTCCACCCTGTCAGTGCTTTCCAAAATCTAACCACTTTCGTGTTCTTTGTAAATTTGTTCTTCACGTACCATTTCATTCTTTTGCTATTCATCTTAAATCGGCACCCCCTGGTTCTCAATGCTTTAGTTTTTCACTCTTCATCTAATTTGTCCAGAATCTTTTTCATTTTGATTGTCTGTCTTTTAAATCCCGCCCCCCCCAACCTTCTCTAAGGAGACAATGCCCAGCTGCTTCTTTCCTGCAACCTCGTTTAATGCCTTCAAATTCATCCTAAAGTGTGGGGGCCAGAATTAGACACAGTACTCCAGTTGAGGCCAAATACTTTCCTACACTTGCATCTATTTGTAAAGGTCAGGACCCTGTATGCATTTTCAATCCCTCTCTGATCTTGATTTGTACAGACACACGCCCCTACGTCTCTCTGCTCCTGCAACCTCTTTTAGATTTGTACTTTTTAAAAATATGTTGTCTTTCTTCGTCCTTCCAACCAAAGTATAGCACTTTGCACTTCTCTGCATTAAATTTAACCTGCCACATGCCCTTTCAGTTCATCAACCTGTGTGACGACTTAAACTCTGTCACTACTCTCCTTATAAATCACAGTACTCCTAAATTTAGTGTCCTTAAAAGATGGAAGTGTGTCACGTGCACCCAAGTACGAGTCGTCATGAATCAAGAAAACCTGTCGTCCTAGAGGCCGCCACAGGGGAACCTCACTGTATACCTTCTGAGAAACAACCATTCACCAGTGTTATTGTTTCTTCTCACTCGGTCAACTTCGTATCCATACTGCCTCTGATGCTGTTATTCCACGGACTTTTAATTTGTTGACAAGTCTGCTATGTGGCACTTTATCAGCTGCCATTTGGAAGTCCATCTATATTGCATCAACTGTGTCGTGCTCATCAACCTTCCCTGTTATGCTTCACAAAAAGAGGTTTGTGTTTTGGCATGATGGGGTGATAAGAGTAAGAGGATGTTTCTTCATGGGAGCATGATATTCAGCCCTGAAGACCATTCTGCTACTTAATCAGATAATGGCAGTCTGCAATACATTAGTTTCATCAAAATTTAGTAAAATTATAAATGTGTTGGGTTGTTCTTTCTTTTGTCTTGTTCTTTTTTGTGCTCCTTTTATCTCGCTCTTTTTTTTTCCCTCGTATGCTTTTTTTCTTCTCTCACGCATTTTTTACTTTTTACTTTTATTAAAACCTGTCTGGGACCAATATTTCCTTACATGGTTCAGTGTCAAATTTTGTTAATGTTCCTGTGCTGCACTATGCAAATGCAAACTGTTGTTGCAAAGTTGTTTGTGTCCATGTCTGCCAGGGTTTCTTATCATTTCTAACGTACTTTTAATTGCTTCATTTCCTAACAGAGTCCGATTTTGGGATGTCTTTCTCCTAATCCCGAATGTGCTTTTCTTCTCATTCTTGCTCTGGAAACTTCCATCGGCTAGAGCAAAGATTCGGGCCACATCGAGTCCCATCTTCACTACATTCTACATACTGGTAAGTCTTCTGCAATGCAATAACAATTTGGTGTGACATGCAGGATTTCTGCAAGATGTCCTGGCAATCTGAATATTACTAGAATCTCTTGAGCTGCTGCACAAAGTATCTCAGATAGCTCCGGGTCATCTCGCCCTTCTATACATCTCCTTGTTCCCAAGTGCAGCATCTGCTGCACTGACGTTACTGATAATCCAATGCTGGCCCCCGTGCATCCCATATTTATTCCCAGCCATATTTTCGCCTGCCTCAACCCTCTATTCTGGAGATCTTCTTTGTGATTTGAATGCTTGCAGCTAGGCTGACGAGTGCAGTAGGCTGAATTGTCATGTTTGCCATCTCTTGGATGAGAGGTCAAATAAGGTCTAGGACGCTCTGTTGAGCAAATGTAAAAGATAGCATGGCTCAAAGAGCAGGAGAGTTCTGCTGGTTTCTTGGTCAACGTTTATTCCTCAACTACCATGTGACGATGCTACAGCTTTAGGAGGTGTACTTTTTTGTCCTGGATTTTTGTTTTTAGGAAGAGAGGTTGAGGAAGAAGTGCTGAGATATCTGCCCAAGCCAATAAAGTAAAAGCTTGTGAGGCCTTGGTTTTTTTTTCAAAGTTGGAACAATAAAAGCAGGCCTGAAGAGGTAGGGTCAAGCTCCCACAGAACCAGGATTTTTAGTTTAGCTTTCAGTAGCAGTTGTTAGTATCTTGAAGCTGGACATGGAAGCCGTTTTTCCTCTTTCTGATGCATGTAAATCTGGGGTTTCTCTTCCTGCTGCTAGAATTGCATGCGAGACAATCTATTTTACCGCCTTTGCCTTTGCCAAGGATGTGTTTATGGGATGTTATTATATTGGAACAGTTGCTGTTTAGTCATTAAATAATCTATCATTCTGTTACAGTAGAATTAAGCTATTCCAATTTCTTCTTTCTTTTTGTTTGTATTTTAGCTATAGCATATGAATAAAGTATGTTTTGCTTCGAGCCTGGTAGTTTGACCCATTGAATTGCATCCGGAACACACGGCCTGGTACTTGCCTTATAAAATAAGAAAAAGTTAGGGTCTAGGCTATTACCTTTGACACGTTTTGAGGGGGTTTGGTCTCATCCATAAGAAACATCATTTAAGGTAACTTATTTCCCGGTTTGCTTATTGGTCAGAGCATTGAGTATAGGAGTTCAGATGTCATATTGCAGATGTACAGGAATACTGTGTTCACTTCTGGCCTCCCTGCTACAGGAAAGATGTTGTTAAACTTGAAAGGCTGCAGAAACGATATACCAGGATGTTGCCGGGGTTGGAAGGTTTAAGCTGTAGGGAAAGGCTGAATAGGCTGGGGTTATTTTCCCTGGAGTCTCGGAGACCGAGAGGTGACTTTATAAAGGTTTATAAAATCATGAGGCGCATGGATAGGATGAATAGCTGAGATCTTTCCTAAGGGTGGGGGAATCCAAAACTAGAGGGCATAGGTTAAAGGTGAGAGGGGAAAGATGCAAAAGGGACCTAAGGGGCAATCTTTTCACACAGAGGGTGGTGAGTGTATGAAATGAGCTGCCAGAGGAAGTGGTGGAGGCTGGTACAATTACAACATTTAAAAGGCATCTGGATGGTTACACGAACAGGAAGGGTTTAGAGGGATATGCGCCAAATGCTGGCAAATAGGACTGAGTTAATTTAGGATATCTGGTTAGTTAGGACAAATTGGACCGAAGGGTCTGTTTCCATGCTGTACATCTCTATGACACTAAATTGACTGCCCATCTCAACATTACAACTGTGACACTTAAACATTTAGTTTAATTGGCTGTACATTAGGACATTCACAGAATCATTACTCCACAGAAAGACCATTCAGTTTATCGTAGTCTACACCATTATTCAAATGCGTGGTTCACTCCGTGCCATTCTTCTGCCTTCTCCCTGTAGCCCTGCACATTATTTCTTTGCCACTAACCACCTAATTCACTTTTGAAGGAACATGTAACCTCCACCAGACAGACTGGCAGTGCTAGCCACTTGCTGTGAGAAAAGAGTTTTCCTCCTGTCACCTTTGCTTCTTTTGCTAATTCCTTTAGATCTGTGCCCCATTGTTTTTGTTTGTTTGTTTGTTTTTTTTGTTTTTTTTGATACTTTCACAAATGGGAACATTTTCTCCCAATTTACTCTGTCTTTGAAAGCCTCTGTCAGATTTCCCCTCAACCTTTTACCTTGGAAGGAAAACCTTCCGGTTGTCCAGCCTACTTTCGTTAATTACATGCCTGGAACCATTCTTGTAAACGTCTCCTGAACTCCATCCAGGGTTGGGATGTCATGTTGCAGTTGTACAGGATGTTTGTGAGGCCTTCTGGAGTACTGCGTACAATTCTGGTTGCCTTGTTAAAGGAGGAATATTATTAAATTGGAAAGAATGCCAAAAAGATGTACAAGGATGTTACCAGGACTGGAGATTTTGAATTAAAGGAAAAGGCAGTATAGACTGTTTGTTTTTTTTTGTCCCTGGAGTGTAGGAGGCTGAGGAGTGACGTTATGGGGGTTTATAAAATCATGAGGGGCATAGATAAGGTGAAATAGCAAAGGTCTTTTACTTAGGGTAGGGAAGTCCAGAACTGGAGGGCATAATTTTAAGGTGAGAGGGGATAAGACTTAAAAGGGACCTGAGGGGTACTTTCTGTCACAGGGTGGTTCATATGTGGGATGAACTGCCAGAGGAAGTGGCAGTCGCAGGTAGTTATAACATTTTAAAAAGGTATTTGGATGGGTATATGAATATGAAAGGTTTAGAGGGATATAGGGCAAATGCAGGCAAATGGAACTAGTTTAGTCTGGGAAACCTGGTTGGCATAGATGAGTAGGACCAAAGGGTCTGTTTCTGTGCGATATGGCTCTGACTCTGACTCTATCCTCAAAGTGTGGACCTTGACTTACTACCTTGTCAAAAGATGACAACCTTGACTGCAGCACTGCCTCAAAACTGCGTTGGGAGCATCAGTCTGGATTATGAGCTGAAGACTATAATAATGTTTAGCACTCTCACCTTCGAAGGCTGCGTTTATCCAGTGAGACATGCCTCATGTTAAAGATTTGAACTAGCCATTCTGAAACTCTTAAGTCATCCAAGGCCAGTTATTCAAACTGTTAACTGTAATGAAGAACTTGGCGCAGGTCAAGAAAGAAATGAACAATCTTGTCTCTCTCAACCCTGTCTACTGACTTACAAAAGCAAAACACTGTAGATACTGGAAACGTAAAATAAAAACGAAATGTTCCTCAAGCCTGGCAGCATCTGTAAAGGAAAGTTGCTACTTCGGATCAATGATGTTTCATCAAAACATCCACCTTGCTTTCTCATTTAACAAAAGCTAAATATTACAGACACTGGAAATCTGAAATAAGAGCAAAAGATGGAAAACCTCAGAAGGTCAGGAAGCATCTTTGGAGAGGAACAGAATAACAGTTTGAATCAATGACGAGAAAAACTGAAGAAATAAAAAAAAACCAAATTGCTGGAAAAGCTGAGTAGGCCTGGCAGTGTCTATGGGGGAAAGCAAAACTGAAGAAATAACCTAGCTTCTTTTAAGTCTGCCATTCTTTTCTACATGTGGTTATTTCCCGGTCATTCTTGGTTGACTTGACATTGGTGTTGAAGAGGTTGAGCCATTGCTTTGTGCTGCCTATCTGTAACATGCATGCCAGTTTTGACATATGCCTGTCCAATCTCTAAGGTTGGTGACAACCGAGATCAGCATTGTTGTTGATGGCAGCAGAACCCTGCACAATTACAGATGTTGGAAATCTTGAAATTTAAACAGAAAATGCTGGAAAACGCGCAAGTCTTCAACATGGAGACAAGACTTAACATTCCAGGTTTTCCTTTTTCAGCAGAACCAGAAGAAATGAGAGATTTGACTGTTTTAGGGACAAGGGGGAGCAAAGTGGAGAGCATTTCACAAGTCAAGAGTGTGATGGAATGCTCTCCACTTGCTTTAGATGACTCCAACAATAATCAAAAGTTTGACAGTTTCCAGGACAAAAGGAAGATTCACCAGCATGTTGCCTGTCTTGGAGCCTTTCAAGAGAGGCTGGATAAGCTCAGCTTGGTGCAGTGGCAGTTTCCCTACCTCTGGACTCTGAGGCCCTGGTTCAAATCATACCTGCTCCAGAACTCAAGGGTGGTGAGCAACTAGAACGTACTGCCTTGGAGGGTAGTTGAGACTGGAATTCCCAATCTTTTAAAAAGTGCCTGGATGAGCACTGCAACAATATAAGAACATAGCTCACCACAACTTTCTGTAGGGCAATTAAGAATGAGCAAAAAATGCTGGCCGAGCCAGTGATCCCGCATCCCATGAAAGGTAAATTAATTGAATGATGTGGGGCTGTAGTGGGATAAAACTGAAGAAACTAGAGTTGAGGGAACAAGTAAGTGATGGTAACAGATTCTGCTGTCTGAAATAATGAGGCAATGGTTTCATCTATGGTGGTTGAGGACTGAATACTGTCAAAGTTCCAAATCAGCAGTGCTTTTTCTCATGGTTCATTGGAACCTTGTAGGAAGCTGAACACAGCGAAGTTGGAGTGGGATGGAAGATTCGTGACATGTGACAGGACATTTGAGAGAACAGATGGCTTGGAGAGTGTCTTGGAGTCCATACATCATAAGAGACTGGTATAAATGTGATGTTGACTGTTGCAGCTGCAGTGTAGTATAATTCTTTGAGTATAATTGATCCATAATCTTAAGAGCTCAGAGGAATGACGTATGATCTTATTGAAATGTGAAATTCTGAAGGGGCTTGGCAGGGTAAATGCTGAGGTTGTTTCCCTCGAGCTGGAGAGTCCAGAACTAGACTTTTTTTTTTCACTCAATTTGTTGTGAATCTTTGCAAGCTCTATCCCAGAGGGCATTAGATGCTCAGTCATTGTGTATATTGAAGATTAGGAGTTATAGCTTTATGGGCACAAAGGGAATTTAGGAATATAGGGAATGGGCTGGAAAATGCATGAAATAAA